GCGACCATATCCTCCGGTTGTTTCCCCCCACCTTTCAGCAGATCCTGCTGCAAGTTTAAATATTTAAAACAAAGTCTCCTTCATCCTCCCGCGGCTCCTGCATCTGCAACATTCCTGCCGATCGCTCGCCCCCACCTCCATTTGGGCCTCCTCCATCTTTTCCTTATGTTTTTTTTTTCTTCTGACCGCATCCTCGAAACGGCCAAGACCCAAACACACTCGCACATGGTTAATATTTTCCTTTATTTCTGCGTTTCAGTTTTTTTTTTTTGGTTTTTTTTTGGACGGACCTGTCGCCGTCGTCCGTCTGGAACTTGGACTCCGTTTCGGTTTCGTTTCGAATTGGCAACTGTTGGTGTATTTCACCTGGCATCGGTCATTAAATGCCCTCAAAATGCATCCAACAAAAGAACTCAACAAGTTAAAAGGGCATAACAACAGCCGCAATGCCAGCTTGTCTTGCATATTTTGTATTTATTTAATATTGTTTATGTATAATACAAATTGTTCAGGTGCATTGGACTGACCGATGTCGGGCTATAATAAGATAAATGACTTTGATGGAATGATAAGGCAAAAAAGGATGTTCTGAAGAATGCGTTTAATAAAGTTTTTAGGAGTTTTAAAATAATAAGGGAAAAATAGAGAAAACGCAAAGATTTAATTTTAAAAGGACTTATTTAAAATCCAATTAGTCAACTTCTTTGATGTGTATTCAAATCGTCATACAAATAATAACATTCATGTTCACATATTTACCTAATTACTTTTTTACCTTCTCATTCACATGTTGAATATTAATGCCATGATTGTTCAGCTTAATGCATTATAATTGAATCTGATTAAATCACTCAGATCATCACTTAATTATTTACACAATCATCTACATCAAAAATAATCATCCGCGAATTCTTTTCATTCACAAACTCTTTATTAATTTTTAGCATAATCATTTTTAATGCCGCGTCATGTTTATTTATTTACTTTTTTTGGTACACATTGCAATTCATATCTTTGCTTTTGTTTTGTATCTCTTGAGTGCCCGCTTGTATCTTTTGTGGCAAGTTTTACATACTGCAGGAAAGGGGGGATGAATGGGGACGAGGAAGGAGAAGAATGTGCGTGTGTCGAGTGGCCGAAAAGTGCCAACAACATAAAAGAGACAAGAGACAACAGGAAGCAGCTGCTAAAAAATTCTTGGAAATATCACATTGCTGCGGTGCAAAACAAAACAAAAAAAAAAAAAAAAGAATTAACTTGGCTTCTGCGCCTCGAACTCGAGTTGCATATAATTTAATAAATTCAAAATGAGACAAAGATAAGCCCAACGAAAAACAACTTCATTATTAGAGTGCAGAAAAATCTTACGACTCTGGGGTCAATAGTATCTCAAGGAATTCAATGCCTTCTTTGCATTTGCTGTGGCCCAGGCCCAAAAGAGCTAAGGCCAAGGCAAGTTGGTCCGAAGCAGAAGCTGAAAGAAGTACCACCCCCCTTCAAAACCACCCAATGGTACACAGAAACAATTAATAATAATAAAATGATTATAATATTGATAAATTATTCTATGAAGATGTTCAATTTAAATCAAAATATTTAAACTATATATGGTAAGGAAACTAAAACTAAGTTAAGGTAAATATATTTATTAGAATTTTGTTTTCACTATAATCCTCAAACTAATTAAACATCTGAAAATTTTAATTTTCGTATTATTAAATATTTAGTTACGCACTAAAAATAATCAAATGAAAATAATTATTGTAAATTTCCAGTAAATTCTTAAATTTTCTATTACGGATGATAAAAGCCGGGGGAATTTTTGTTTAATGCAATATGCAGCAATTATGCTGAAAGCGATCGTAGTTTCTTTCCGTGCATCTCTCACAAGGAAGCGCATTTTTAAATGCCAAAACAAATGGAAAAATTAAAGCCAACGAACGAGGAAGCAAGGGCCAAGAGGGGGAAAGAGATGGCAGTTAAACCTGCCCGACGGAGAAAGAGGGAGACGGGGCAAGCCGAGAGTTGACTGTAAAAATGCATCTAAGCCCGCTTTTTTTCTTTTTCTTTGCTTTTTTCAACTTTTACCAACTGGTTTGCGACCACTCTCCTAACCCAGGCTCACCCACCGCCACCACCCCCTTTATCCAAAGCTGACACAGCAGCCGCAACACTTTTATTATATGCCTTCATCTAATAAGCCAAAGCCAAAGCCAAAGACCAAGGCGAGCTTCTGCTGAATCTGAAGTTGAAGCTGGAGCTGAAGCTGCAGCCACGGCTATATGGCTATATGGCTATATGGCTATTGAGCTATCCGTGTCCAATTGCCAACTGAAACTGCAACTCCAACTCCAACTCCAGATACATACATACTCGAACTCTCTAGCGGCGAATCGCTGCAGTTGTACTAGAGTTCTATCGCTCGACGATGATCACCAAACATGATTGTTCAACTCTGCTGTTTTAACGCCAAATAAAATAAATCAAATTCCTGAGCGGTCGTCGACTAGACGTATGAGCTTTTTTTGCCTCAGGATGAATAGAGATGGCCAAAAGTGGATACCTGTTACTCGTTATTTAGTATAATAAAAAATGTTATTAAAAATTTAAATGCTGTCATAATATAAATATGAATTTAAAAAGCAAGACGTTTTAACGACTATGATTTTATGATTTTAGCAAATCATCTAAGGTCATTACTAATAACACGGTGAAAACAATTTTATTATAATAACCAATATTTATATTCTTTTTATTCATTTTAAAATTTTTTACTATGATATTGACATAATGATTATTTAAAATATTCAGTTTTAAGCTTACATTCAATGATCATAGCAATGCCAAATATATTAATAAAAAATGTTGTTTGCTGAACTAAAATATTTTATCTCCGGCTATACTTTTTAAGGTTTATAGACATAAAGATAACATTTTTGTTATATTTAAATTTTGTTTAGAAATTTGTACGTTAAATTTGAGTGTACACCAATTAAAATTAAGACATTACTATTTCAATTCATACATCTACTCCATGAGCACTGTATACAAAAAATCGGAGAAGGACAAAAGCAAATCCCTGTTGGCCAAGAACAGTGCCAGGCAGAGCTGTTAAAACGGGGACTCCGACTAGATCGGTCTCGAAAAGGCCCCTGGCTTTTCTGCTTGACCTCACTCAGCAGAACCACCTCCTGGGACCCCTGTTCCGCCCCCTGTTTATCCCGCCCCCTGGCCAATGGCACCAAGTGTCGATCGATGTGGATGTGGCTGCGCTGGATGTGGATGTGGATGTGGTGGATGTCGATGTCCTAGGCCATATAATAAACTTGAGGAATGCGGCAGCCGAAAGGGGAGAGTCGAGTCCAAATGCAAACGGCTACCAAGCCGGCGATGAAGACTCCCAGCCAAGGCTTCATGTCCAGCTTCAGTTTGCAGCTCCAGTTGGGGCCCCGAAACATGTTAAAGGCAGAGATTAAATTCAAATAAATCGACATGGTCGCCTGGAAATGAAAACATTCACAGAACACACGAGACAATAACAACAGCAACCACAACAGCAGCAAAAGCAACAACAACGGGAGCAGGAGGATGGACTCGGCGAAGGAGGAGGGGCATTATGTGGAGTCACAACAACGATAAGCAGGAATGATCAGCTCAGAAGGATGTGAGTCTTGCAGTCTCGACACGGGGAATACCCGGCATGGGTAAATTAGAAAAAATAAATCAAACAAAAGCATTTAATGTAGATTTAAATATATTTTATAATATCAATTATTATTATATATAATTATTATTACAGTAAATATAACAATATTACTTATTATCAAAACTAATGTTCTTAATGGTTTACATTTAATAAAATATAGTTACTGTTTATTAAGTTATTTAACATAATAATTTAAATATTTTTCCCTTAAAAACTTTTGTGTTGATCTTGGATTACATTTCACTAAATGTTGGGGCACTTTATACTTCATAGTACCCTGTAGCCAACGATCCGAGGAAATTTTGCCTGCTGCCTGACGATTTGCGTGGCTCAAACACACACTGAAAGGCTGAAAAGGAGAGAACCCGATGGAAGGCAGAATGAAGAGGACGGATTTGCGGCGTTGAAGGGCTGAAGGGGAAGGGAAGAGGAAGGGAGGCCCTCATCAGAGGAGGGGGCGCAGCCAATTTGCGAATATTTTCATTTCAATTGCGCGACGGCTCCCAGGATTGAGCCGCCTCGCCATTCCACTCCAGTGCCCCTTAGACCATGTGTCCATGTCCATTTCTGATTCCGAGTCTTCGGCGGCCATTGACACACAAGAAGACACACTCAAGTGAAGACCGAAGAATCGGGACCCAAAGACTCTGAGCTCAGAGCTCAGAGCTCGGAGCGCGTTCTTCGCAGGTCACACGTCTGGGGGCAAGGCCGGTTCATCAATCGAAGGGGGGAGGGACAGGTGGTGAGATGGTACGGTGGTATCCCCAATGCAGGTACACAAAACGTCACTTGGCGGGATGATCTATGTACGCAAGGAGTTTTTGGCACCACTCACCTGTGCTCTCTCTTTCTCTTTTAAAGTTTCTGATCCCCTTCGGATAGCCGCAGGTTCGAGGGCCTTCAAAATAAGATCTGGGGATCGAGACCCCTGAGAAACCCCATCAAGGCTATCATTAGTCCAAAAGCCTCGGGCCAAAACTGTTTCGGCTCTTTATTTCTTTTGCTGGTCATGAGGAGGAGGTATACCCTGCAAAGGATAAACTTTTGATTGGAGAACGTTGCAAATTATTACTAAATTTGTAACGAAATTCCATAAAAAAAAATTATATATAACATTTTTATGAAAATTAACTTTGAGGTATTTTTTTTTGTATTATAATAAACGAATTTGTTTAACCAACAAATTAATTAATTTATTTTTGATTCGAATGGTTAGGGTTGTTTTTTGTGGTTCTGACATTGTTAAAAAGATTTATCTAATGCACGTGTATTCATTATATAACATGTTATTAATACATATTCTAATTTATAATGTATTTTCTAGTCAATGTATTAAATTTCCGAATCAGTCTAGTCAGTTATTTCCTTATGCATCATCGCCTTTTGTTTGTGCAAAACTTTCTTAAAAATTTATTTCTGCAGCGACTTCTGCTGTCCGCAGTCGACGCCGGCAGCGCTGTCGGTGGAGACTAGTTTGGTATCTTAAAGTTGAAATAAAAATTATTTACGATCGTTTTGTCAGCGGCCAAGAACTGGAAGGCCACTCAGACCGTAGAGCGCACCACTGACCACAGAACACAGAACACAGAACACTGAATACTGACCACCGGCCAACGACGACCGGTGTCCAGTGTCCAATGTCCGATGTACGATGTCCGATGTTCGGTGCCTGAAACTCGGTGGCTTTGGCCACCTTTAGCACAACTGTCGCCGCCCGACCCGCCCCCTCGACGCCCCGCTGCCACGCCCTCTTAACCAATTGCTGCTGCTCTCGACTCTGTTGTATTTCACGCTCATCAAAAGCATTCAGCACGCGGATAGCGACAACTGTTGCATCCATCTATCTGGGGAGCGAGAAAGATAAATATGTATTTTCCATAAAAAAACTAAAAAAAAAATTTAATTGAAAAACTAAATGTCTAATACTGAATAAGAACTTTATATACCAAAATCTAAACTGTAATGTGTTGCTATATTGCTTCTTCAGATAAAAATTTTATTATTATTATTATTGCGTTTGCTTTTCTTTATTACGATTATTACATTTATATTGATAAGTTGTTTCTACTAACACATGATTTTATGGCAAAATAATAAACCAACGTTATAGGCAGTTAACCATTTTATTATTAATTATTTGTAAAAAACTATAGAACAAATTTCGGATATAATAAAAAAAAATTAAAAAGCCATCTTAACGATAGAAATGCACACCTGTGTAAAGTGTTTGTGTAGAACCATCTCTGCAGTATCCATCACCTGTCTTCTGACTTTTCGATTCCCATAGTTTCCTGGGTTTGGGTTCTCGAAGTTCCCGGGGTTTTCGGGGAGCGACGAGGAGATCTCTCGACGGTCAGGTTCGGTCGGTGTCTTGCGTGCCGCTTTGGTTAATCGGCTATGAACAGTTATCGGACTGGTTTTATATTGCTCAGCATTTGTTATGTGCAGCGGCCGAGTGGAGAACCACATCCCTCCAAGCTCCACTCCTCGTACCGCAGCTATTTATATTGGAATTAGTGCGCTTCTGATTCGATAAGCGAATTGTGCGAGTTTTAATAAGCGTGTTCAGTTGGACATTTAGATATGCCCCGGTGTCGTCGGGTATTTTTCTAGTTTGCCTCAGAATTTATTATCAATTATGAGCCGACTGGAACTGGGAAATGTAAAACGAATTAAGCTTTAACTGTCAGTCGATTTTCCGCGTTAGAGATTTGGCATGCGTTTGAATATTTGATTTTTCATGGGTTGTATTTAGACATTACTTAGAATAGCTCCTTTTTTAAATTTATAAAAACATAACAAATTTATCAGTTTTTTTGTGAATTTTGCTTTATGCTTTGAAATGTGCTATCTAAAATTGGGAAGCAATTCAATGTACATACGAGCTGTTTAAATGTTAATGTAGTATCATAACATCATAACATCGAGCACATTTATAATATTTTTTACGTTCGTAATACCATTGCTATTAAAATAATTATTTTTGAATGGCGAAAGCAATAATCAAAACAATAGTATTTACCGAAATTTAAAACGTGTTGGTGCAACTTGTCAACATTTGGTTAACATATGTATTTTGACACCCGGAAATGTTTGTCATAAGAATTGTTCGTGCAATAACTGTTAAAGTAGAAAGCTATTTCTTAGTTTAGTGGCAAGTGAAACTGTGTGTATGAATAGTGAATCCCCACACACCCACTGCGGCACACAGACGGTGGCAAGTTTATCGTATTTATGGGTCGAGGCTACTCGGAGACCGTTAAAAGAGAGCGAAGGTTGCCACCGGCGGGCGGAGGCGTTTAATGGGTGGCCCGGCTAGGTGGGCGAGGTCGTTTCACTCTAACGGTTCTCAGTGGGTCGGCTGGGTGATCCGATGGTTGGCAGGTGGGTGGTGGGTGGTGGGTGGTGGGTGGTGGGTGGTGGGTGGTTTGTTATTGCCCGTCGGGTGTACGACATACGGCTATGTATATCTGTCCTCTGTTTTAGCCCGCACACACATATTTTCTTTATGAATCCACCGTTTCCAACCGGAGAGTAAACGATCCGCGGGGGAGGAGGAGGAGGAGGGGGTGGTGCTGTGGTGATGTGGTGGGTGGATTGTAGGAGCCTTCGAGGGTGGCTAACTGACGAAGGTTAACAATAAGCTGGCGCGCTATCCTTGCGGCAGTTGAAGGTTAATAAATATGCACGACAAAAACACAGCAACACAACGAAATGTATTTTCCTTTTTCCTTTCTGTTTCGAGTCTTTGAGCTTCCATTTATAGATTGAAAATGATTCCTTCAATGACGTCACTGGTTTTTGGTCTAATGACGTAACGACTGCCTACGCCACGGCTGCCTGTTGTTATCCTAGAAGTGAAATTGGTTGCCGGTGGCATTTCAGTCACCCACACAAATTCCATCCAAATTTATCCATGGCAGCCTGAAAATGAAAACATTTGAAGATATTTATACATCTCAACAATGCGAAGGGGCCTTTGAACATGCTTGAGTAAAAGGGGACGCATTTATTTCAATTTGTATGTTTTGCCAATCAGTGAAGAACGCTTTGTTTAACTTAAAAATAAAAATAGGTTTGCTTAAATGTCTGAAGTGCAATCAAAATATATGTTTTTTTTTAAGTTTTTAGAAATCGAAAAACACTGTAAAAATTTACTAACAAATTTAATTCCTCTATCTAAGAAAATTTAATTTGAAGTAAAGACAAACTTCCTGAGAATAATTTACCTAAGAACTGATTTATTAAAAACTTGTTCCAAAGAAAAAACGTTAAAGCTCTTAAATTTTTTAAATACCAAGGAATCAAATTAGTTTGTTAGTCCAAATACCAAGCACTAATCCTCTAAAAAATTAGCATATTTGCATTTAAAAGTGAGTGCGATTTGCACACCGAGTTGAAAAGGCTAAAGGTTGCTCAATTGACATTTTCGCTAGTGGAAAGAGGCAGCAGGTGGCGGCTTTTAATTTAAAATTTCTATCGCTGTGCGTTTGCTAATTAGCAAACCGACGAAGCGAGGCGAGCTTCAGCAGTATTGTTTGCCAAGGGGTTGGTGGCTGCCTTTAACAAAGTTAGCCTTTTATAGCATACTTTCTGGGGTATCGGAGATCAACCCCCGCATATGGAATTCTTAGCGCCCGCTGGCGATGTCAACACATGCGCCACCTGTCGCCAATTTTACGCTACCCCGAAACCACCGGCAATCCTCTCCTCCACCATCCCATAAAAATCTGCAACCCCTTCGGGATCCCTTTCTTCCGTTTGGAGCAATAAAAGTCTCACGCAGTTCACCTTTTTTAGCCCTTGGGTCTCTATTGCCTTTTACATTAAGGGGTTATATCCAGTTGCGAGGCCAAAAAAATGAGCTTTTTTGAAAATTATTTTTGGAGAGGCTATTTATTGTATGAATACGTAATATATATGAAAAGATAGGTCATTATTTCTAGTTTTAGAATATATTTAAAAAAAAAAAAAATTTGGACTCCGTCGGTCCTGTAGAGGATCTCCCGAGGGTCCACTTCAAAAAAAGGTTTTGCGGTGAGCAAAATATCTCCGGTCCAAATTATTTGAAATGCAAAAAACCAAAAGGATTACGTAAAGAATAGACAAATGCTGGTAATGAGACTTGGGATTTTCAAAATTTTGATTTTTGACAAAATGGCGGCTTCCCAAACATAAAACTTTGTTTTTGGCACAAAAATTTCAACTTTGAAGTGGCTAAAAAAATCGAAGTTTTTGTCGGAGCCGAAATTCCAAGTTTCATTACCTGAAAAAAATATCTAAGAAGAGAATGTGAAAGTTTCAAGTCAATCGGACAAGCCGTCTCTGAGAAATTTTGCTCACCGACTTTGAAGACATAGTTTCGAGAAAAACGCACTTAAAGTTTTGGCTACTAGTTGAACTACATGGGAGGCGTCTTTACAAATACACTTATTACTCCAATACTATTTACCGGAATACTTTGAAATTTTCAGACAATCTTCTTAGATATATATACATTCAAAATAGGCAAAAAAAAAAATTTCGATTTTTTCAAAATCGCAACTGGATATAACCCCTTAAAGGGCGGCCCCCAACAAAACCAGTTTACAATGCACAAGGACACCCTCGAAGGATCCCTACGTACCCGTACCCGTACCCGTTCCGATTCTTCTACACAGGGAAAAATATTTTTCCAAGCCTATAATTACATACTTGTATAATTTGCCATAATGCAATTCCTTTTAATGCAATTTATCTTATGAATAAAATGTTATGTATTTTTAAGTTTATATAATTGTATTAGTTTACTTAGTTTTAGATCTTGTATACCTCACGTTTTTACGTTACGTAAAAATATTTGGTAAATCCAGTTAATTTTAATTGTTCTCTGTGCATTAACAAATCCTACCCTCGCCCATTTTCGCAACTGCTGCTTTTTCTTCTTGGCGCGACGCAAATTGCCAACGTTTTTGCATCCTTTTTCCATATTTCTTGTGTGCACCCACACCATCCTACCTCACACAGTCTGTGTGTGAGTGTCTGTTTGTGTGTATGTATATCGCAGAGCTTCTGTGAGTGTGTGCGTTTGTGTCGGGAACATAATTACATATTGTGCGCTGTCACTTTTGGCGCTCCTGCTGCCTCGAACAATGACAAAAAACCCAGCACTCTTCCCCATCTCTTTGTTCTGGTTTAATTTATAGCTCCGTACACACACAATCACACACACACACATACATATTTATATGAATATACAAACGGGAGATTCCATTTTGCCTGGAAAAAAGACCCAAACCTCTTGAAATCTCTCCCCATTTTCCATCTTTGTTTCACTCCAGTTGCTGTTGTTGTTGTTATTTATGTAATTATTAACATTTTCGCTGTTATGTTCGCTGTTGGCATTGTCACTCCGTCGACATTATCGTCCTTGCCACGCCCCCACGCCCCCCTGATCTCCTCCTCCTCCACTGCTGTTTCCCTCCATTTAGTTGTTATTGCAATTGTTGTCATCGTCCTTTTCCAACGCCTCACTTTTCCATTGCTGTTTTCATTTAAATAATAATTTCATTGCAAAACGCCTTCGCTGATGGCCATGGGGACCGTCAAGGGGTTAATGTAGTGGCAGTGGGGCTGGCAAAACAAAAGAACAGAAAAAGGGCTAATGAGTGAAATGTTTGCTCTTTGAGCAATGGCAAGATGTAATATTTAAATTCGTCTTTGCAAAGAATTTATACTTAAAGACTGAGAAGTGGTGTGCTGAAAGTAAAGAAGCTATTTTAATTAAGCAAAATAAATAAGAAAACAATTTAAAAATGGAAATTATATTTATTAACAGTTACAGAAATCCATGCACTGAAATATATATTATTGAACTTTTAGAATATATTATTTTCGATATTTTTATATTTTGTAATTTTAATTATTTCCGAAGCACTTTAAATCCTCTTTAATAATTGTATAGTAATTTATTCCCATCCGCCGCTCACCCACACCCACACATTTATCGCCTCACCCACACAAATACATATGTACTCATCGTTTTTGTCGTGGCATGCAAAATCTGCTCAACTAATGAATTCAAGCGTATTAATTATTACGCATACGCCACATTGTGCGAAGGCCGTTGAGCACACAAGCAGCCAACCGCTCCCATTTCCTTCCCCACACACACTCATACTCATACAAACACATACTTGGGAAGGCGCAAATTGTGCCAGGCGTTTTCGGAGTTCTCCCGCTTTCCTTGCTCCTTTTTTCCTCTGTTTGTTTTTATTTCCTTTGTTTTTTTTTTTTTTTTTTTTGGGTGGTGTATGGTGTTGGTGGTGATGCTTCCTGTGCTGCCGTTTAGAGAGGCTGCCAAAAAACATTTATACAAAATTTCGCACGGAAATACACACTCATTCAGCCACGCAAACATATATGCATACACACGGAGCGCATAAAAGTTTAAGCAGAGCAGCAAAAATGCCAAAAAGTTTCGCACAGCCAAAACGAAGACAAAGAGGAAAAACGTAAAGCCGAGCAGAAAACACCAACAAGAAAAATCTATGAAAATGAAAATTAAAGCAAAGCTGTTTTGGGGAATGGGGAATTGGGGTTACGGGTCGTGCTTGGAGTGTGATGCGGATGTTCCGCTGGGTTAGTGTATCGTACATTTTGATTTGAAGAACAGAAAACAAATTTAAGTATACGAATATAAAGTCTTTAGAATAAAGTGGTCGTCCATTTTAAAAAAAAATAGGTTGAATAAATATTTTAAAAATAACTTCGAACATTTATGTGTAAAAAGTTATAATATTTTACAGCAAATAATTAAATAATTAATAAATTTTGATAAATGGTACCTCCTAATTTCAATATACTATATCTAACCTTCGTTAGAATTCGATAGAACTTTCTCAAATTTGAAGGCTGCGAAAGTTTTAGTGGCTTGACTGAAGGAGAAGGACTCTGGATTGGATGCGAATATTTTGCATGTTCGTCTGTGTGTGTGTATGCGGCCGGGCAACTTTTTGGTGACATCGTTGTGAGTGTGTGAGAGTGTGATTGTATTGTTGTTGTTGTTGCTGCCATTTTGCCTGCCACATGGCACAATGAAGTAGAAGAAGAAGAAGACGGAGCTTCGTAGTTGGCTTTTGCTGGTTTGACTGTGACTGGGTCCTCGTTTCAGTTGCTCCAGCGTTATCATTCAGTGCGCAAGCTGTTTGCTCATTGTCTATTTATGCAAACCCATACAGCTGCAAGAAGAGGGTACGAGGGGGAGAGAGAGAAAGGTAGAGCGAGGGAGCAGGGGAGGGCTAGAAAGAAAGCAGGAGAAAGCGAGGGGGAAAGGCAGCGAGAGATATGGGCACGTAAGGCAGCACACATTGTCTGCCTCAAAACTTTTTGCAGGTTGATGGCTTTTCCCCAGAAAAGAATGAGCGAATGGGTCGAGTAGATAGGGATGCCAGGGGTAGATAGGGACGGCAGTGCCCCACAACCACACACACTCTCTCACACACACATACACTCACTTATGCAGCAGACAGAACAGTTACAATTTGCTCGTATCCCTGTGTGCATATTCGCTTTCGCAATATCCTTTGCTCCCTTTTCGGGCAAGTGTCGAGTGTTGTCTATATAAATGTTGATCTCGGAGCCCCCCTTGCGTCCCCATTTGTACATACTATGTAAAACAGACATTGACAATGCATTTGCAGGACCCCTCTCACAGGCACGCCCCTGTAAACATTTGCATGGCAAATGCAGACAATCGAGAGAATGTTTGCTGCTTAATGTTTGCCTTCATACCAATTGCTGTTGTCTTTATTAATTTCAATCGGATTTTTAAGGGGGTTAAGATTGCAAGTGGATCAGAACATTTAAAGTGCTCTTTGAATACTATAAAATAAAAAAAACTTATAATATATTTTAACAACTAATAATATAAAATGTTTTGAAAGTTTCTCACATTTATACAAATAACAACTCATTTTTAATGTGACTTACCAGATGTTATTCGTAGTTCAAACTATTTTTTAATGGTAATTAAAAATGTAAATATGTTTGACTGAGTGAATTTTGATTTTCTGTGTCAGAACGTTGAGAAAATTTGACCAAAATTTGTATACAACTGCTTTTGGAAGCTCCTGGCAGGAAATTCCTCTTCGTATTTTTCCTTTTTGCTCCCCATCCACTGAAATGCTCGTACACAAAATTCTCTGGGGTTAAAGTGAATGAAAGTGGGGAAAGCATGAAATGGGGACAGAGGAGTGTTGGCTCGTGGATGATACATATGTACATCAGTCTGACCTGTTTGAGAGTCCTGCATGTGTCCTCACTTCCCCAGTCATCATTTGGGATTTGCTCGACCCGTTTGCTGTTTCTCTTTTCTGTTCGCCTGGCAATTTGTAAGCAAAAATTTTTAACTTTTTCTTTTCTCGAAAAAATTCTTGTTTACATGTGTGTGTGTGTGTGAATATGCGTATGCGTGTGTAGCACATTTGTTTGTGTTGTTCTGCCGAATGCCAGGGGATTGTGGGACAAACATGGATATTATTTCATTCTCTGAGGCAAAGTCCCAACGAGATGTTTACGTTTATTTGGTGATTATGAAATGGGTATAATGTGGGCAAAGATCTGATGAGTGGCAGGGTTCATGAGTGAAACTATTGGTGTGGCTTTAGTATGAAAAAGCTGATGAAATGAATAAGTTAATAATGGGGAGCTTTATACTTAAGTATTGAATAGTCTAATGATCACAGAAGCTACAGAAAAGAGTAAATTGGTTTTTAAATTACCTAAACTGAATATAACATTTTCCTTATCAATTTTATAGGCTTCGTAATCCTTTTAAGTTAAACTTGCATTTTGGTTTAGATTTTAATGTATTAGTTTAAATTGAACTAATTGATAGTAAAATGAGAGGGTCTCTACCATAAGTTATTTAAATTCAACCACTCTACTCAGTGAAATTGGCTTTTCGCCAGATAGAAATATATAGATTCCTCACCGTATGTGTATATATCTGCATTATTAAGTATCGCTCGCCCACACCTTTATACATGACAGGTGCCACAGCGACTTTCACCGCCCCACCATCTCTTTCGCCGCCTGAAACTCAAACCCAACTCATCCCAATGCCATTTCCTTTCTCGGGGAAAAGTTGCACCACTTAGCGTTTAAGTGGGCGGCATTTTCATCTCACGGCGCCACCCCCTCTGACATTTTGGGCAAATCTTCTTTAACAAGAGCCACCGACAACACAAAAAGCATAAAATGCTATGAAAAAGCAAACGAAGCCGCCAACAAACGCACGCACACATAGCCAAACTCAAACATAAGTCGCACAAACACAGACACATACATCCACACACACACAGAGAGAGAAGAGATAGGGGGCAAAAATAGGGGAGTGGGTGGCTGTGGGTGGTTGGGTGTCGTAGCTAAAGCCGCAAGGAGTCAGGAGGCGGCAAGGACGTTGTGTTATAAATTTTATGAGCTTGCCACTGGCAGCGATGCTGTTTCGGTGTCTGTGTCTGTGTGTGTGGCTCATAAAAATAAGTTGCACTCGTGCCACGATTTTCCACCACCCACCGCCCGCTTTTGCTATAAAAATAAGAGAACTTTCCTCGCTTCTGTCTGTGTGTGTGTGTGTGTGCGTTTTGGGTTCTCCTCTGTTTTGCTCTGTTTGTGTGTGTGTCTCTTGGCAGTCAGTCAGCCAGCCATTGTTGCTGCTGCCACCTCACCACCCACCACCTACCACCCACTCCCCCACCCGTTACCCACCCACATTTCACCTCCCCATTTCCCTTGGTTCGTGTCATCGCTTGGGCTTGACTGGCAAGCGGAAACATAACCAGAAGGATAACGTTATAATGCCCCAGTGTGGCACAATATATACAAAAATGAATACAACAAAAAAAAATCAACATTTCTTGCCAGTTCTTGCCACCCACCTCCTGCAACCGCCCTCTGCTCCTGGCTTTGGCTTCTCCGCTTTTCCCCGTTTTTCTCCGCTTTTCCTTGCTCTACTCACTTTTCTTTTTTTCTGCGACTTCTGCTGTTGCTTCTTTTTTATTTTTAGCAAGCAAACGAGATCCTTTATTTCTTCAGCTTCTTTGGCCTTCCTTTTTGAAAGGCTGCAAATGGTTAAAGGATGGAGAAGGATAGTTAAGGTTGGAAGCAGGGGAATAGGTAGAAATGGGAACTATTTTTTAGACAAAAAAAAATCAGACGAGAAATGAGAAATGACTTGTATTAAAGAATTGCGAATGAGATACTTGTATATATGAAAATATCTACGTTAGGAGTATACGAAATTATTCTTATATTCCAAATATCTTATTATTGTTAACTGCTTTATATAGCAACAAAAATTCGAAACACCTTCAAATAAAATTGAAAAACATAAAAATTGGTAAACAAAATTAAAATTAAAATCGGACGAATAATTCTAAGTTATTATGTGGAAAATATACGTTGCATATATAAATAAATAAACTGGCTTGTAAAGTAAAATATTTTCGCACTATAATTTTATATGCAAGATAAATTTTTCATCCATAAATATTATATCCCCAGACAGTTTTCTTGGGGTCGTTTTAAAAAGTATTTCAGAGTACTTATTTCATGATTTTCCTCGCACTTCTTTTGCATACTATGTGTTTGTTAACTTTTTTGTTTTCCTGCTTATAGCTGCGTTGATTGCGTTCTCTGTCGCTGTCTCTTGGTTGTCTTTTCTCCCTTCTCCCCTTCTCCCCTCCTTTTTTTTCCAGTTTTTGCTATCTGTAGTCTCTGTCCGCCTGTTGGTGTGTGTGGGTGAGTTTGTTGCTGAAGTTCCTTTTTTTTGGCTTTGTTTCTCCGCCCTTTGTTTGCCTTGTTCCCTACACTCGTTGATTGTGTGCTGCCTTTATTTTTCGTTGTTGTTTTTATTTGCGTATGTTCTACTTGGATTTAATTTTTTTTTGGTTTAATTTTGTTGCTTCATTCTTTGTGGGTTAAATATTGTGGAGAGACGGCGTGAAGAAGCCTGATCTGGCGAAGATAAAGTGAATTTCTGTTGCTGGTTTCTTCTCTTTCTGCTTGCCCATAAAAGTATGCTACAAAAATGAGTTCCCCTCTTTTTGGGGCGTGTTGTGCACAAGCACACACACACTTAAACACACAGACACACAATAGGTGGCTGCAGTTGGGCTGGTGAAAATGATTTTCGGTCTTTCTCTCTTTACTCTACTGCCTTTCCCCCACCATATATTCCCTATTCTTCTACCCCACCTCGTGTTCCACTCTTCTACTTCGATGACGATGACGCTGCCATTTCGCTCACTTTTGTTTTCCACAAGAAAGGAGGATGAAAGGGGGGAGAAAGGGGACAGAGAATGGGAAAGGGGGAGAAGGGTAGAGGGGAGCGTGCGAGAGTGGCTGTGACAACGGGAACGCAATGTGCGCGAAAATGAAATAAACTTTATGGGCGGATGAGGATGAGAAGTGCACTAAAAAAAGCAAATGAAGAATAAAGAAAAATAACCCAAATGGAGATTTTATAAGAAAATGTAGAGAATTTTATGGAATTTTTTTTTAATATTGTATTAAAATATATACCTATAATAACTATAAAAAAAATAACTTTTTAACGTCAAATGCTTCTTCACTGTTCGTTTTTCTAAAAATTTTGATTTTAAAACGTGTTTCTACAGAAATGTGTGAATATATTTTGTTGGAAGTGAAAATTAAAAAATTATCTTTAAGTAACCATTATAGTAATTCTTATATTATTTCTGTTAAAAACAGAATGAATTACCCCTTTTATAGAGTTTAAATATACGATTTATTTCAAAGGGTGTTTGCTACTTTTTATGAAAGTGTTGCTATTGTTCTAATGAAGAATTGTTTTCCGTACACAAGATGTGGGGTCTCTGGGCGTACACAAGATAGGGAGGGGCAATCCTCGACATCGATGCCATGACGGAGGCCAAGTTGAACAGGCGAGAAGCGTGTGCAGCAAGTGGCAATTTCACGCGGCAAGCTTCCACACTCTAAACGGGATGGAAAACGGAGCTCAAGGGGGAGGTGATGGGGAGTTGGGTGTTGGGAGGTGCTGGTGAAATGTAGGAGACCCACAGAAAACCCATTTTGTATTCAGAGCTCGTAAAGTAGAGAGCGAGGACCGGAAGGGGCGGTGGGCGGGGCAAAGGAGAACCTGGTTTGTTCAGGCAATCCCCAAGTGAGTGGGTGAAAAGCGGGGGTGATGTTTTATGCTGTGGGTTTTCGAAAATCCTGCGTTGCGTGTTGTTGCTATTGTGGTTTCGCCACCCACTTTCTGCCCCTCTTTCCCCACCCCAATCCCCAACTCACCTGGCGAACGCATAAAACCAAGCCAAAAGGCAGCAGAAACAACAGCAAAAACAACAATGGCAGCGTGCAAAATAAAGGAAAATTGGTAAAAGCAAACTAGAAAATGGCGAAATGTTCGAAAATTGCCAGCAGTTAAATTTTTCAGCCCCCCAAAAACCTGTGCCAAAAAAAAGAACGCTATAAATGAGAAATGAAACTTGTCTCTGGTGTATGAAATCTCCAAAAAAACTAACCCAAAAGCTCATGAAATCTGATGATATTAAAGCGCACGGATCCAGTTACTTAAAAGGATAAACTATCCACTTGCTGGCAGCATAAAGTGGGTTTATGACTTGGAAGAAAGCCGTAAACAATTGCTAAATATTTTTATAAACTCTATGAAACGTTAATACCCATAAAAAAGTTAAAAACATAAATAAAGGGATAAACCTTTAATTTTAAATCTCAGTGTTAGAATAGTTTACGTTCTAATATATAATAGTAAAACCAGACCATTTTAATTAGAAAAAATAAAAGTTTAAAGAATTCAGAAGTTAATTCAAAGCAATGAAACTCGATTAATGAACCTTGTTTAATTTATCTTACGTATTTTAGATTTTAACTCCACTTAAGGATTTCTAAATAAAAGTCGGTTTTATTTGTAGTATGTCATTAAAAAAATCCACTACTTTCTAACGAGTATATGTTTTTCGTAATAATCAACTTCCAGGAAAAAATAAAGACAGTGAACTAACGACAAGTTATTCAGAAAAGGTTGCACTTTACATTATTCTCCTGCGCTTCCATGAATTTTTAAGCCCTGCATTATATAGCTATAGCACAACCAAATATATACACACTCACATAGCTGTATGTGTGCTGTAAAAAAAAGCACATATTTGCCCACACGACGTATACGTAATTTGCGCATATTGCGTATTCCCTGCATTTTGCTATTTAGCCGGCAAGTTGGCAGCGCAGCAAGAAATGCAGCGGGCAAACACTCCTGGCTTATGTAACCCACAAGTGTGCAAAAGGGGGCGTTGCCGAGGGGGGGCGTGAGTG